CAATTAAGATGTGGAGAGAACTCAAAATGGAATAAAAGCTCTAACAAATAGCTGTGTATTTTTCACAAGGATATAGGCTGGCAATTCTGAAATTACTTCATATATATAATAGAATTGAACAAATAAGTAAATTGATTTTGATGATGGGAATTGGGTTTCTTACTGTTGGAGAAAGAGGTTATAAATAAGGAAAGGAAGAAGGCTAAAACGTACCCTTTAGTTTTGGATTGGAGCTAGAAGTATTTGCATACACATTTACACACACGTCAGTACAAAACATAACTCCGTCTCTGCGTATGGGTTGTGTACAGACATGTATTTCCTACCTCTCTGCCCGGAGAGGGCCTAGAGGCAACACCACCCCAGGAACAATGAACAGATCTAGTGCCCAGATCTTGCCTGTGAATGCCATTTTCCATAAAAAGAAGCAGGGCTCCTAAAAGTGGTTGATGGCTGGGCTGGGGCAGAAAAATGTAAGATGAATCTGGTGAATCTGTGGTTCCAAAGAAAAGCAACAATTTGAAGGAGCTTCTAATGGCCAAAGCTGCAACAATTTGAGCAATTAAATTATCTCATTGTTGAGTTTTAACCCAGAGAATAGTTTTCGAGTATATTAGTTTTCTTTTCTTGCAACAAATTGCCACAAACGTAGCAGCTTTAAACAACGCATGCTTATTGTCTCACAGTTTCTGTGGCCACTAGTCCAGGCACAGCCTAGCTGAGTCCTCTTTCAGGGCCTCACAAGGCTGCAGTTAAAGTGATGGTTTATCTGCCTTCTCATCTGGAGGCTCAACGAGGGAAAAATCTGCTTCCAGTCTCATTCAGATTGTTGGAAGAATTAATTTCCTGTGGTAGTACAAGTGAGCCCTGCAGGTTCTAAAGGCTTCCTGTCCTGCCATGTGGCTCAGTTCACAGCATAGAAGCTTAATTCTTCAAGATCTCGGCAGCTTCTCTGCTCAGAGGCCTAATTCCTCTTAAACTGAGGCCTAAACCCAAAGTCTCCCTTTTGATTATTTCAAAGTCACCTGATTAGAGACTTTAATTACATTTGCAAAATCTCTTTGACTTTTCACATATAACATAATTTTATGAGTGATATTCCATCACTTTTGTCATATTCTTTGGTTAGAAGCCAAGTCACAAGTGGAAATTACATAACGGTGTGACTCATTAGAGGTCATCCTATAGTGTGTCTGCCACAATGAGTCCACATAGATAAAAATAGTCTAATAAATAAAGAAACAAAGGGGAAGAAGAGATAGTTCTTCCTCACAAATTCCCATTAATGTGGAAGGAAAGAAGGAAATAATCGCCATTAGCAAACACCACAGTAATAAGTGTTGCAGGCAAAGTTCTCTAATGGATGCTAAAATTAGTGGTGCAGGTTTGAGGAGACCCAAGGTCTACATAGTCTCGAGTATCTACCGTAGGTACTTACGGACTGCAAAGGGCAAAATAGTAACTTTATATTGGAGGAACTTGGTAGACACCAACTTTACCAAGTAACCAAAGTAAATGTCACCAGCATGGAAACGTATCGATGTCATGACCTCCTTGATAGAATGAACCGAGAAGGGCAGGACATGCTTGTGGCACACTTCCTAAAATGCACGACCTCATGTCACTCATGAAAAAATACCAGACTAAACCAAAAGGAAGAACATTCTGTAAAAGAACTGATGAGTACCCTTTAAAAGCACCCAGGTCACAAAATACAGACTGGGGACTATCAAGGGGAAATAGCAACTAAATGCAATGTGAGACCCTAGAATAGAAAAGAGACATTAAGTGAAAAAACTGGTGAAGTTCAAGTAAGATCTTTAGCTAATAATCTTATACCATGTTGAGTTTTTCTTGATAATTACACTGTGGTTCTGCAAGATGTGAACATTAGGGGAGGTGGGCTAAGGGATATAAGGACTTCTTTGCACTAGGTCTGAAACTTCTCTGAGTCTGGAATTAATTAAAAATAAAAGGGTTTTTTGAATTAAAATATCATAGTATAGACTTCTGCCGAGAGTTTTAAGTCAGCAAAATAAGAAATTTAGGTGACGTATTGATGCTTCATTTTTAGTTTGTTGCACCAAAATTTTGCACAGTGTTGTATACATGGTCATTGGGGAATAAACCTATTAAGTGTAAAGTGGTGGAATTCTAACTCAGCATATTTTTTTTCTGTTTTAAGTTTTCTTCTATTGTGCTTACTTACGTCATTATAGATACATCATACATAGAGGAGGGAAAAACATGGGGCTTTCTTTAAAAACTGAGTTTTAATGTTAAAGCCTATTCATAAAGTTTATTTTGTTTACAGTTCATGGCAACCTTCTTTTAAAATAATTACCAAACTTTGTTTAAAAGGTTTTACTTATGACAATACATGTCATGTAAAAATCCCTAGTTTTGAAGGTGTTTACTTAGTTCAGATGGTTCAAAGGGTTCAGAATTGTCTTCTTAATCTGAGCCATGGACACAAATGAGTCCTGTGTTTCTCAAACATATTTTCTAATCCATCATCTACTATGACCATGCTTATACCTGTGCTGATGGAGGAGGAAGTTATTTCTTGGTATCTATGAAACTGTTGGTGGAAAGATAGAGGGTGAAAGCAAATGGAGAATGTGACAGAGTTTGCACAGAGCTGTCCTTACCATGAGAAGACTTGTTTCTTTGAAGGATGAGCTTAATAAATGAATTTTCTCATTCTCTAAAGAGGTATTTGTCTTAGAATTGCACCAGGCAAGCAGTAGCATTTCCTGAATGTGGCACTATTTTATGAATTCATGAGATGGGTTTCTTACAGCCTTTTTTATTTTTACTTGAAATACTGTACATAAGAACAGTGCCTTGGGTGTGCATAGTGTAAGGAATGGTGTCCTCTGTTAAGGCAGAGTTACTGTTTGTTTTTACTGTCATGAGCCTATGAATTCAGTCCATCAAGCAGAAACGATCATTAAAATATAAGCACTTACTGTCTTCGTGCAGCTGATTCCCCAGTGACATTTTTAAAAGTCAGGATTTGGCTGCAGAGTGCTTTAAATTTCTAAATGGACTGTAGTTTGGGGGCCTTAGGGCATTTCATAGAAGTACATGACCAAGTGGACACCCAGCAACTCTTGTGTATCTTTAGCCAGATTGATGACCAGGGTTTACCCTTGAAATCGTTCTCATCCAGAATGTTGCTTTTTACGTTTACATTTCTTATTTGGGGACTAATACTAATTCGCTACAAAAGTCTAAATAAGCAAATGGTTAAGCAGATTCTGTACTGTTTGTATGGTTTGTTTATCCTACTAATTGTGCCTCTGACTTAAAAGCAGCTTTTAGTGGTTTCACAGGGCAGCAGTTCTCAGTGTCTGCAGATTCGGGGCTTGCTTTTCACTTTATCTAAGAATGTGCGTGGCACCGGGACCCTGGAGCGCTCAGAAATACCTTCCTAAATTAGGCTGGAAACCTAAACTCCCAAAAACAATATGCGTATTTTTGATAGTTACATTTTAACACCTATTTATACCCAATATCTAAATGGAAAATCTTCCTGCCTCTGTCACAGACACAACTGTTATTAGAGTTAGTTGTGAGTGACAGTCCTGGGGACTGCGCTGCCCCTGGGCAGTACTCAGGCTGCCCGGCCTAACAGAGAGATGCCAGCAGGCAGAAACACGAGAGGGTTGTTGTTTAGTATAAAACACCATGACCTTCGCTGGGGTGGGGAGTTGGGGGGCAGGGGAATTGGGGTAATCTTAAGTACATTAATTTCCTTCTCTGTGATTCTTTTCAGCGCTATACAAAACTGGATGAGTAGGTCCTATGATGTTAAAGCAGTTATCTTGATCTAGCAATATCACGAATTACCAAACCACAGGGCTATGCAGGGAGATACATAAATGCATGTATGTGTGTATTACGTACATGTGCACATTCATATGTATGTTTGTCTTCCAGTTAATTTTAGCAAAGGGCGAGGTTAGAAGGTAAAACAACATGTTCCCCATGCCATGAGAGCTAATACCTTGAGGATTGTGCTAAATTCAGTTGCCTTTTTTATTCAGTAATGTTTTTAGTCTTAGAAGTACATGTAAACCTCTAAGCCAGAAAGTGAACTGAATCGTCAAGTACCTCTGATGATTCTTAAATTTCAAAATCCTGTCTCCTCCCTTCACATGATTCATTGTCACTCTTTAATTAATAAAATAATAAGTATCTTTTCCCTTAATTCATATTCTCAGATTAAGGGCCATTAAATAACAAAGATTTATTAATATTTGTTATGCTAATGAGGGATTAAAGAAGTAAAAGACATTCCTGTCTCAAGGAGCTTACATTATAGTTTGAAAAGCCAAACTAAGCATACATTAAATAAATGAAAATCAAATAGATGCTAAATAGATGCTATTGCTTTATTAGCAATAGAGATCAAAAGAGATGCAGAATATTACTTCTTTAGTGATTATATACAGTGCATTCCATAGTAGCATGTTTTATGTTTTCTAATGGAGGTCTTTTCCTCATTTATGTTAAATTTGGTTAATTATGAAGATTTTACTTAGAAATCAGTTGATATTACTACAGTGAATAAATATTACCAATGTCAAGTTGTTTGCCGGTATGCATGCCTGCCCACTTAGAGACTGGAGACTGGTTTAAACTGAGGAGGATGGGTTTACCCCATGAGTCTTGGGCTTTGTTAAATGCATTGAGGAAGTGTGTGTCGGGAGGTTTCAGCTGCTAATTGATTTGTGTGTGAGTTTGGGAATTCATTCAGTAAGAAATTAAACTTTTCAGGAGGTCATTTGCTAAATATGTTTATGCATGTTTCCTCTTCATTTTACCAAAAAAGGGTGAAATACCACACTTTTTTTGAGCTACGCCTTTTCCTATGTGGGGGTCATAGCTTTTGTGGTCACAAAGGTTGAATAAATGTGACTGTGTCTTGGTTTTGCACAGTTACAGTATTAATACAGAGGGCTCCCCATCCCCGTTTCTCCTGTGTGTTACAGGCAGCCAGATGCCTCCTCAGCCGCCTGGGAGCCAGGCCGAGTCCAGTTCCCATCCCGCCTTGAGCCAGTCTCCAATGCCGCAGGAAAGAGGTTGGTCTTTAATTCATACCTCACAGGTCTTTCTGTTTTGAATATAACAGACATATGAATTTGCTTCCCTATGCGTCTCCTTATAAACAATTTTTTAAAGGATATCATGTTTCCTCATCAGATGAACGAATTAAACAAGGGCCTAACATGTATGGAAATGAGGGATGCTTGCTTGCAGACGGGGTGGCGTTTTACCACAGCACAGCTGGAGACCCAAGGAATAAATATGTCCCCATAGCGCAGTGAAGCATAGTTTATACACAACTACAGTCTGACATTTGATCTAGATGATTCATAATTCAATATGGAGATTGGTCCTGATGAAGTAAAATGTGAGTGTATGTTTAGCTGTTTTATCAATTATTTGTCCTGTGATAATTAATAGTAAAAATTTAAAGATATAATAAGACCTTATATTACAAAATTGTAGGATCTTAGAACTTAGAGCCAACCTAAGAGATCATAGAGTCCAGTCACCTCAATTTACAAATAAAGAAACTGAGGGCCAGAGCAGTGCTACACGACTTCCTCGTTCTCAGAGGCTAGTTAGTAGCAGAGCCCTGCAGCCCCTGGGCGCTGAGGTAGGCCCACGTCTGCATGCTCCGGCCTTCGGGTCAATTCTGCTGCGACCCATACATTACTGCTTGGGTCGTGGCTTCGGCCTTCCTTCACTCCCCGGCCTTATTTCTCCCCTGGCAGTAGAGCTGCTTTCGGCGGAGGTGGTGGTGGTTTTCATCCAGATGAGTGTAGCCCTGGGGTCACAAGCCTGTCGCCCCACTGCCTGTGAGTCAGGGCTTGCCGCTGTCCTTCGCTCCCTTCCTCCCTTAACCCCGCCCAGGGGACAGAACTTGGTGGCTTATTAGCTGACACGTAAAGGTCCCTGACCCCTACTGTTGATAATCATTTCTGTGTGAGTCACACAGAGATGATGATTTGCTTCTGATTAGAACTGTAAGGTTTCAGTTAGTTGACATGTTAAAAACATTTAGAGAAGTTGGATTCTCTTCATCTACACATCATTTGTGTTGAAATAAAAAAATAAAATGAAATTTTCATTTTCTAATACCTTTACATATTGAACTCTTTTAATGAGAATTTAATGTGTATTTAATAATTTAATTCCTTTATCCACATACTACAATGTGTTTTAACAATGGGATAGTTAATATTTTCAAACCTTAGGGTGCACGAGAATCATCTGGAGAACTTGTTAAAACAAATGGCTGGGCCACCCCCCTAGACTGCTGCTGTGGTAGGTCTGAGGTGGGGCTCTTGAGGTCTGCATTTCTGACAAGTTCCCAGGCATTGCTGAAGCTGCTGAAATAAGCACCATACTTTGAGAACCACTGCCTGATAACAACACGATGTTTTAATAATGGTGTGATATGTGCATTCATTTCTAAATTTCCCACCATGACCTATGAATCAGTCTTGTGTCTCACATCCTCTCTTGAAATCGCTTGGTCTGTTAACTCCTCCTGTGGCTGTGGTCAGCTGGCAGACGTCACAGAGGTCACGGAGAGCACACGGGCACCAAGCAAGGGGGGGATCCTCCCCTAACTCCTTTTATTTTCTGGGTGGCACCTCCCTTGTGTGGCTGGGTCAGGGAAGTGGTGAACAAAGGGAAGGTAGTTACTCGGCACCGGCAGCCTCCTCAGACCAGACCCGGAACTGAGATGCAGAGCTGGTCCTCACCCAGCCCTGTGACATCATTCCCGCCAGGGGCTCCGCTGCCTCTGCAAGCATTAAAGGGTAAGAGGCACCTTACTTGGAAGTCCTGCAGTGCTAACCTTTATTGCTAAGAACTAAAAGGGAGAAAACTCTCCCTGCTCCTCCAACAATGTCTCATCCAACCCTTTCCAACTGTTCTGTGTTTAAGAAGTTTAAAAATGTAGGAAACCAAATGGGAAGGACAAGACTCCAAGAAAACAGTCAAACTTTTAACTTAAAGGAATACATTTGCAAGGCAAAATCTAGGGGTTTTCCTCTGGTGTCATGATATGGGAGCCACTGTAAATATGTTTGTTATTTTTTTCCTCTTATTATTTTATTCTATGTAGTGTCATTTTGGTCACTGATCATGGATACATAACAATCCAGAGAGTTGTAATGACCATTTCCTTCAAATAATAAATAAATTTTACAGTTCGCTAAACCTGAATTGATTTTTATGAACAAGTTCCACAAACATCTTCTGAAAGACTGTGCTGGAGACACTTGTATGCTTTTTTGGTTGAACAACTGCCTGAAAAGGAACTTTGTATTTCACAGTGACTGTTAGATGATGCTTTGCTATTCATGAGTCAGATTTCCTCTGAAATTGGGTAGCAAGGATTTTCTTTTTTAATGGCTTTGTTATTTGTTAAAATCTAAGAAGTGTTTACTCCTAATAACATTGATCAGGTCTTTTAATGGCAAATGGCACTGTCATTTTAATGCTTTGATAAAACATTTTTCTCATTTGTTTTACCATAATTTGGTGTGTACCAAGATTATTTCCAGGGCAAAGTAGACCTAAGAAAACGCTTGCTAGAAAATACCCCAGTGTTAACTTCCACGTATTAAAAAGTAATTTAATTTCATTTATAGCTTTACAATTGATAGATTTCCTCCCTTATTTAGGAAAGTGATAAAAGAAGCAGAGAAGAAAAAAATGTATTGCTGAGTTAGCATATTATTTTTAAAATGTGATCTTTATCAGAAGCCATGGGCCTTGATACACAAGAAAGAGCAAACCTTCTGTACTGCTGAGCATTAAAATAACCTAGTTGAACAGTGCTTTTTACATTTATTTTGTTTTAATAAGTAAGGTTAAGAAAAGAGAGTAAGATTGCACAATTACACACATTTTCTTTCATGTATCTACACCACATTGATTTTCTTTAATGGCAAAGAATCTAGAAACACACTTGCCAGAGACAATTGCGCAAAGCAAGAGATGCAGCCTACTTCTGTTTGGAGGTGCAGTTTTCTGGACCCCCCCAAAGTCCTCTTGGGGGTCTACCTGAGCCTCGGTCCCTCCATGCCCAAGAAACTGAAGTCTTGCTCTGCTGTCCTTCCTTCCTACTTGGGCCTGTATTCCCATTCAGGAAGGACATTTATGACCTACATACTCTGTTGCGAATTTTGCAAACCTGAAACTGTCTTGGGATATGAACCACACTGGCACCTACGAGACCTTCCCGTCTTCCCGAGGTGGAGAACAGGATTGGTCACGGCCCAGACACACGGACGGGACGGTGGCTCTCGGGGCCTTGCAGCCCGGCCTCTCCCATCTCCGGCTCTCAGTCTCAGGCTGGAGGTTCTAGCAGCGAGTTTGTTGAGGGACATCGTCACAAATCCATTTCCCCACATTGTACATACGTGAAAATAACTGTGCTGTAGGTTTATATTTTCCATCTGTAAGAGGTATATGTGCAAGTGAATATGGATATGGATCATCAGTTACAAAAAGAAGGGAAACACTTGAGCTATTTATTGGCCTCTTTATTATGCAGGATTGTCTCCTCTACGTTTTTCTCTACTTTCCAGTTCTGTCCTGTTTGCACATTATGTGATGGGGGAACTTCTTATTAACTGAATAAAGAAAATTCAAGTTCTTTGGTTTTAATTTCTTCATTACTGATTTAAGTTAAAAAGGTCAAACAAATATTTGCCACTGGTTTTTATTTTAAATCAAATCTTCACTCTGTAGACCTCATATGACACACAGAATGGCTATTTAAAAAGCACCTCACCAAAAAAATCGAGTAATGTAAATTATCCTGCCTAAGGCTTTGCAGGAAGAGTTAAGATAACCCTAAAATGCTGAAGTAAATTTTACAAGGAAACTGTAACTAACAAGTTTGGTTCAGTTTTATTCTTAGTTCATAAACTTTAACATACATATCTTAAAATCTAAAAAGAGCAATAGGAAAGGACTTACTAATGTGTTGCCCTATTATCCAAGAGGGCTTGAAGGGAATATGGGATAGTCGTCTGAGTAGATAAGTAAATATAATTATTATTAACATTAAAATGATCACATTTTTAACCCCTGTAAAATGTTAAGCTTAATGAAACTAGCAAATGCCCTTCTGGCTTATTGGATTAGCAGTTAGGTGAAAACGTTTCAAGAAGGCTTATTTATTTGGACAGATGTAGAGAGGTCAGAATTAATTTTTTGAAAACCTTTTAATTGAATTCCCTTTTAATTTTCACAGTAGTGTCTAGTTAAATATTCATGTTAATGCTGGTGGTTTTCTGAAGGTCTGAACTAGATCTGGATTCTCAAAATCCACATTGGTTATTTAACCCTTTTCATCTAGTGTGCCAGCAGGGACTGCCTTCGTGTGATCCCATAGTGTTTGAATAATTAGAAGGTAGTAATGAGGATTTAATTAGTCCTTGAGATATACTGAAAGCAGAACCACTAAGAACTTTCCCTTTTGGACACAGATTGCAAGCAGAATCAATGCTGCCATAAGACTGTGATGTGCTAGAAAATGTATTCTCTTGCTGGAGGCAGTTCTTTGGCACCACTGTGTGACTGTCAAATCTGTACGGAAGGTAGCGGGGTGAAATCTTACAGGATTATTGAATAGCTTCCCCTCACAACCTTCATTCTTGTCCACCTACATCACAACCTCTCTCTCTCCTTCTTTTTAAACAAAATTGTAGTCAAAGCATACTGGCTTACTGTATCTGACTGAGAATTGGCTTTTATTGTATCAGTGATAACAAAACTAGACAAGCTAGATGAGTTGTGTATTTACTCTAGTTGCAGGACAAGAAGAAAATAACAAAACTTTACAGTTTTGTACATCTTGGGTATTTAATCCAGCCAAATTTGTTTCTTGATATCAAAAGAATCACAACATTCTCATCTTTGGAATCTGATCTTCACAATGATAGTTCAGTAGCTCCATTTATGAATATAAACAGTGCTATTATCCAGAAAAAGTATATAGTAGGTGGGTGGGATCAAGTATATGCTCTCTGTATATGTTGCCCTAAAAAGG